GAAGGGAGAAGTGTGGGGCAGAAGTGAGGGACATGGGAGGTGCACCCTTCCCTCTGAGCTAAAATAGGAAAACGGTGCAAAATGAATCAACAATGAACAAACAACAGTGTGTGATGTAATTTTTCAGTTGAAGAATAAATTTAGCTGGAAACAATGTCAGGTCATTTCTACCCCTTCCCTGTTGCATCTTCATAGTCTGACTTTTTCCATTGCATTCATAGCCATTTAGGGTCTTTCTGGTGTCTCAGTTTCTTTTCTCCAGTATGTTCTTTTTTTTTTCTTCCTGATTTTTATTACAAAATCTGGCAAGTTCCAGGAGTAAAAATAGAAAGCCAGAAGATGGCTGATGTCGGCTCTCTAAATGTTGGTGACATGAATAATGCACTGTCAAGAACCTCTAGCATGATGAATCATTTGGAATTTTAAACACCATTTTTCACTTCCTTTTCTTCTCCACACCAAGGGTTTCACTTCAAGGGTTTCTCAAGGGCTTTTCTCAGGAATATTAGTCACTTTCCTGTCAGAGCAGGTCGTGGTGAGATGTGAGCTCCAAAGTGCCTGGGTGCTCCTGCACCATGCTGTGCTGGCCGCTCCAACCTCACTTCTCCTGGGCAGGCTCTGCTTACTGCCTGTGGCCTCCCTCAGCAGATGATCTGTGTTTCAGGCCTCTCCAACTTCATGGTGTCGCCACTGCACCTTCAGTTTCACTCTCACAGCTCCGTGCCTCACTCAGAGGCACATTCCTGGCCTCCTAGGCCTTCCTCTGAATCTGAGTGGACGCCTCCCTGACCTCACAACTCTTGTGTTCTGCATGCCTAAAAAACTTTTGCAACTCAGCTTGGACTCTATAAAAAGTGGATGGACATGGCCTCCAAATGGGGCTTTAAATTTTAATACAATACTCTAACTTGATTTATTTTGAAGGAAGAAAGAAAAATAGAAGTTCCATATTCCAGTTTTCTATGACCTGGTATCAAGATCCCAAATCATGTGGATCTTGTAAAATCTGTTACGTCCATGTGCCCTTAGAACCAAGGAGAACAGAATCAGACCTCACTGAAGATGAGCTCTTTACTGCCCCAAGTAGAGTTCCCCAGCTGGCTATAGCCCCTATAGAACCAATAGTGGTTCCATGGAGAGGACTGTAATATTGATTATGCCCAGGGCAGGCTGTGAAGCGTTAACCCCACGATTGGCTTGTTTATAGCAGTGAGTCCAGCTGAAGCCTACGTGCCGGGGTCAGAGTGACTTGCACCCAAGTTCCGTTCCCACAACTAAAACCTTCAGACTAGAAGGACAGTGTTCTAATTGCAACCATATATTTTGTTTATTCTGTTCCTGATTCGAGAATGCTTTGTCTTGTCCTCTATGTGCCTTGTTTACATTAATTTCCAGAGAAATGACATGTCGCTTTTATCCCAATTGCCAATAAAAGTCCATGCCTGGGCCTGGCCAGGGCCTTTGTCAGTTGCACCAGCATTGGTTGTCCTGGCCCCCGCTTTCTCTCCTAGTTCTGTCTTTAAGTGTATTTTTTTCTCAGACCTGTGTCGTATACTGGGCAGAGCACTGGAGCCTAACTTCAGAGGTCTTCAGTAGTTCCAGAGGGCCCCGAGGAAAACTCTGGACCCAGCTCAGGGAGCTCCTCACTCCATTCTTCTGGACCACAGAAGGGTGTGAGTGCAAGTGGTGTCTACCACCGGGCTCTAACTGACAATCTCAGACTGGAGGTGGGGTCCCGGACAGGTGTTGGCGTTTCCTTTCTTTCTGTGAGTGGTATAATTTCAATAATCTACCCACTAAACGTAATGGTGAAGATGGTGATGATGGATGTCCTGGTTGGCATTTTACTATCCCGTATTTTTCAATTACTTGGTCTGTTAGACCTAATCTAAATTGTAAATGTTTTTGAGTCCTTTGTTTTGAATAAATAACAAACAAGTTCCATATTGTTTGGTCCAAAAGGTGTATGAATATTTTATACTAATATTTTTTTCCTTGCTTTTTGATTACATGATAGCTTGTTAGATGTTGATCAATTCTGTTGACACCACTCATAGAATTATAATCACTGACCACATTGGAAATATTTTAGTTTCATTTCTTATTTCAATTTCTGGATTATGAATAGTTAACAATAAAGAGACATTTTTTTTTTTTTCTTTCCATTTCACAACACAGACTTTTTCTCTCTGATATGCTAACTTGTCTCCTTTTCTCAGTTTTTTGTTTTGGTACTTCCTTCCTATTCAGTCTCAGTGTCTCAAATATGTCCATTTTGTATTGTAAAAGAGTATCACTGAGTTCTGAAGAAGTATAAAAATTATATCTAATGCACTTATGATAAGTTTTTATAGATTGTAGCACAAAATTATGTTATTTTTCACAAATGAAATAAACACAAATTAATAAAAGGAAATAACCAGAACTTATTACTAGATTTCACTAGAAACAAACATCAAAGGTGAATACAACATTCCAAAAAAAATTACGTAAAAAATAGTCAGTATAAAACAAACAGACATATAAGTGTTATCTTGTACAAAGAAGAATCGACTAGTTGAAATGACACCTGCCCGAGCAATGCTCAGGACAGTCAGTACATAAACAAATGAGCTGCCCAAGTGATGCTTGAGGTAAACTGTTAAGTGATTAAGAAATTCATGAATACCAAATCAGCACACCAAAAATTACTCAAGAATATTCTAAATAGAGACAATGATACCTAGAAATCCAAAAAGCCAAAAAGTCTAATGCAATGTATACATCAAAAGCTAAACAAAAAGAGGGAAAGCAAGAAGTCAACATCAGAAAAATAATGCATGCATAGTAAAAACTTTGAATGCAAATAGCCTCAATCCCCAATTAAAAGACACAGATTGTTAGACTGGATCGTAAAACAAAAACCAAACTCTTGATGCATATAAGAGACTCATTTAATTAAAAAGAAATTCATAGACTAAAAATTAAAAGATGGAAAACAATATTCCATGCACCAGGACCCTGAAAGCAAACAAAAGTAATAATTTTATTCTCAGTCAAAGTGGACTTTAAGTTAAAACTAATAAAAAGAGGCAAA